CAACTCGACCATGGCGGGAATCGCGGGCGATTTAAAAGCCGGATCCTAAAAAAAAAGCCAATCGACAACACCGAGCATTTCCTAGTGACTCGGCTCAAGTATATGCGCATTCCGACATTAAATTACTTGTATTTCACTTTGTACTTTGAGGTCGTTGGGAGGGTGAGAGCGGTATTATTACCCCTATTCTCTCTCCCGCCTCACTCCCGCGGCGCGCGCCACTGAAAACGCGAAGGGGTTCCGCGCCGAGGACGAGGACGGCCCGGCCCGCGATAACCCTCTGTTTCTTCCGCGTTTGTTCGACGGACGTCCCGAACGGCGCGGCGCGGTGACCGTGCGCGCGCGCGACCGTAAATCAGACGAAAAACAAACGGACGGCGCATAAATCTGCGTTACGACGCGCCGCGATAAATAATAACGCGCGCGCCGCGCCAATAACTCGTAACGCCGCCGCCCGAACCGAGCGTACGCGGCACACGGACATATTTTATTCACGCGCGCGCCGCCGCCGTCGCAGAGGATTTTCGGAATATTCGTCTCCGCTCATAACATCGTCGTGCCGTTACGGGCGTTTTATTCGAAAAACTATTTTTACCGCGCGGGGCGAGACACGGCGCTGTTTGGCGCGCCGCCAGCCCGACGACACCTTTACCAGGTCGTCGCGGAAAAAACCGATGAGGGAATTGTCGTGACGGCCACGCCGACCGCGGCGGTGCAATGCGAAATCCGGCACGTCCGAACCGGAGCGCTCGCCGTCATAGCGCGTCCTCGTAGTTAGAAATGTTAAAACCACAAACGTTTAACCGTTCGAAAAAATCACGCCGGCCAGTAGCGAAGGGAGGAAAATGAAAATTACGGTACTGCAATACGGCGCAGTTCGAAAAAGAACACAGTGGGGCAACAGGGAAACAATTGTATCCGGTCATACGGCAATAGAACAGCAAAACACTAGCGCTACACGCGGGTGTGGACGGCGTTCGAAATCGGATACTTTTTCGGTTATTTCAATCCGTTTCGTTATCGATTGTCCACCGCGAATCGTATTGTATCCGGAAGACCGGCCCCGGATCGGCGGGAATCAGCGCCGTGGCGTCTCGCAAGTCCACTAAAAGGTCGTAAATAATAATACACGGGGCGATCGGTGATCTCGCTCGCGGAGATTTCGAGTGTCGCCCGCAGAACCGTTCGGCGTTCCGATTTCGTTTACGCGAAATTTTACACGTTTCGCCCTAGTTTCGTAATATGTTTTACTTGGGCGTGGATTTTCCATAGTACTTACACAAAACAATCGTGCACAGTTTTTGAAAATAACATCTCCTCCTGACCCATCACCTCCCGGCCCCTAAACCACCGGACGGATCGGACCACAAACATGGCATACAGATAGTTATTATGACGCAGGCATCCGCTGAGAAAGGATTTTTGATGATTCAATACAACGTTTAAAGGGGAGAAAACCGGGTTTTTCGTTTACGTATTTTTGGTACGACTATCAAATCGTTTAATCGTTTATTTTTGTTTATTCATTGGTTACCACCCCGGCGATACGGTCGAAGTAAATAATAATAATAAAAAACATTTGATAACAACCTAAAACCGATTGAACAAATCAAATTTTAACACAAATCTTTGGTAAAGATGAAATCGCTGATTCATGAAATAAATAAACGCCCTGTATACTATACGACGAACGATGATCAGTATTGTCACGGTTAATAATAATTACGGCCAATAATCGTGTTAGTATTTTTATAGCGCTATAATAGTCGCCCGCATACACCACGTAATGCGCTGTAACGGCCGAGTTAAAACCGTAATAAACCCATTATTGATTTTAATTTTTTATCGTATTGTTATTACGTCGAATTTGTCGTTTGTCAAACTGCACAGTGACATGTGCAGCAGCTGTATATCCGGTGGCGTAACCAAAGATAGGGGGGGGGGGAACGCTAAGCGGCCTATAGCCCGCCACGGTTACTATTATATGTGTACCATGCTATTATACATAGGTATGTACTCGTATACTGTTTTACGATTTGAGTGTTGATTATACGTTTCCAGTAGTTCTTTTTTTTCCACTCCCAAAAGACCGTTTTTTTTTCATTGATCCGTATGGAAACGTATTTAAGGAGGAGCACCGTCAGAAAATTTACTCGATGCGGGTTAGCAATGACTAAAATAAATTTAAAAAAAAAACAAAGCCATTAATGAAAATAGAATAATATTGCTAACTTTGCTCGAAATTCTCTTATTACTACAACTGTCAGTGGAAGGTAAATGTAGTTACAATACTGTTACGAGTCTGCTAAGGCATTGCACATATTATGGTATTTTCGTTTTCAAGTTTATAAATTAATTCGACATTAAGTTTTCTTTTATAAATATCCGTTTAAAGTATTGCGTTCATATTAAAATGTATATTGATGAAAACGCTTTTCTCTATGGTTTTTCGGTTGTTTTGGTCGAAACCCTAATCCCCTCCGTATCTTCGTCTATGTTCCAAGAAAAACGTATTAAGCTTCCCTCCCAATTTAAAATCCTGGCTACGTCATTGATTATATTTATGTATTTGTTATCGTTACGTATAAATAAAAACGTATTTGTAGCTGTGAGAAACGAGTACAAATAGGTTTCGAAGACCATTATGTCGTTTCATATCGTTTAAATAATACCAGAAATCAATAATAATAATATAGGTAAAAAACTAATATCGTCAGAAGTTCAAAGTTCGTATGTATAGACATTTTAATTTAAAAAGCATCTGGCTCCGTCGTCGGATTCGTTACATTTTGGCCATGGAAAAAGTACTAAACGAACGCACGCAGAGAACCACCGTCAGGTGTATAAGCTGTATACATACATTTTTATTTTTTTAATTCATCAGATATGATATGGCCGATAATGACAGGAAATAATGAGAACGTTATGTTCGTTTAGGTTCGCGTAAAACATTACAAATTTTAAATCGAGCGTTCGTTAATTGACGGACAAGAATATTACAATATTCGAAACGGTTGCGAGAGTAACGTTTTTAATATAATATTATACACGTTCGTCAAACAAACACAATATTAAAAAAAAAAATAATAATAATAATATTATAATTTCACCAGAGGCGTAATTTCTGCAGGTGCACGACGATTCTTTAAATATGTGTAAAGCAGCGGTGCCGATAATATTGTAAACGGTCGATTTTTCGCTTAACCCCTCGTTCATTATCAGGCACTGTTTAAATTTTCGTGCAATTTCGAATAGATAAAACACGAAAAAAAGAACGCGTGAATTCAAAATTATTAACAAATACAGAATAAATTCAACGACGAAACATTAACGAATACATTTTATACGCGATTTTTGCTTATTTTTGACAACTTATACACTATGGTTATTTTATTATTCGTCGTATCTATTTTTTCAAAATTAACATATCTTTTACTCTCTAAATGTCTAGAACCGTCTCTCTCCGGTTTTCAACTGACAGACTTTTAAAATCGTTTTCCACTACATCAATCCATATCTTTTCTTGAGTCTTCCTCAGGGTCTTCTTTTGTGGGATTTCCATACCGTTGCTGTCCTGACTGTCTCGTTTTCTCCTCGTGTCACCTAACGGTTATCCTTTGTCCTTTGACGAAGCTTGTCATTAGTTTCTTTAGCTTAAAAAGCTTATTTATTGTTTAAAATCTTTTAAAAAAAAAAAAAAACTCGTTCGTTATCTAAAACGACTATTGCCTCTAATATATAAATTAAACGCCAAATAAATTAAAACGGAATATCGTATAATATAATGTTTAATAATACGTATCTACAAACGATTTTTTTTTTTATCGTATAATTGTTTAGGCACAACGAAAATGATTAACAGATTGTTTATTCGTATGGTACGGATAGAAAAAAAGAAATATTCTGTATATTTTTTTTTTTGTTGTTGTTTTTTACGTTATAGGATATAATAATATAATAGGCGTATAAAGAGCGTTTGATTTATTAGGGAAGAGACATTCCACGACAGGTGTATCGGCGGTAGTAAGCTAACATTATTTTATAGTTGGAAATGTTTCCTACAAATAAAAAAAAAAAAAAAAAAAAAAAAACATTCTACGGAACCATCACCGAGAAAGTAATAATAATATTATTATTATATAAACATTTAATAGTTAATTTTTATTACTAAAAAAAAAAAAAAAATACGTAATAAAATCGACGGTTATAAAACGTTAAAAATATAATAAAGATCAAGATTATATTATATTTTTAACGGCGATGAAATTATACAAATTGAAACCACTTAAAGCTTGTGTGTGTGCAGAAGTTGTAAATAAATAGTAAAAAACAAACGGCGCACCGCGGCCGTATCGTGTTTGTTTTTATGGTATTTTCATGTGTCACTAAATCTCCATCGTCGATTACACAACGACGACGTATGGAGAAAAATTTAACATACCCCGCCCGTTTGCGAATTATACGTTTTTTTTTTTTACTATTTTTTTTTTTTTGGTGAGGTATAATATATAATGTACCTAATATAATATTTGTAAAAAAAAAATAAAACCACGAAAATCGGTTATCGATTCATCATACTTGTAAATAAATAAAAAAAAAAACTATCGGTTTTTCGTGTATATATTTTGTTTTAGCGGGCGGTCGTGATTTCGGTGGTTTTAAAAGTCGTTTTTATTATACCTACATCGTATATACGCGCAAAAGAAAATAAATCGTTTCTTATTCTTTTTACTTGTTTTTACGGTGTTTTTTTTTATTTTTTTTTTTTTGTAATTTAATTTGTCAAATAGAATTCAAGGATAAAGTGAGTAGTATACAATATTACTAAACGGAATACGAACGAAATAATTAATGAACCGAACGAGTATTTATTTAATTTAATTTTTTTTAATTGTACGTATATATTATATTATATACATCATTTAAAAAAAAAAAAAAAAACAAAACTACACACACACACACACGTATATATATATAAATTATTTTATTTATTTGTACATTTTTTTTTTATATATATACATACACGCAAGTGTACACGTAAAACATTGAATACATTATCGAAATGAACGACTGCTTACCTTCATGCGTTATACATTATACCGTATACGCGTATTCCCGACTATATTATTATACTTACAACTCCGTCGTAAAGAGTTTGTGTTTATAATTTTTTTTTTTTTTTTCGTATTTCCAAGAGTGTAAAATATCGTACGCGAACGCTTATCGCGTAATGAATATATTACGGTATTATTATTGTACGCGAAAACACATAAATATATAGATCAGACTAAATTAACTGCGCTAAATTCGCATGACTGCGGAGCGGCGCGACCGGAGGAATGTGTTGCGCTGTCACTTACCATACGAAACGAAAATATATTATATTGTGCGCGAGTATTATATAGGTATTTGGAAAAAAAAAAAAAAAAATAATAATAATAATAAATAAATAAAAAAACCTCTCTCGGCAGAGTCGCGCACGCATATTAAAAGAATAATGTGGATCGGAGTGCGGACACGTAAAACGACTATTACGCGTTCGTATGAAAAAATTACCGCGTACTGCGTTTATACGGCCGGAATGATTATCAATTTAATTTTCGCGTCAGTTGGACGGGCGAAATAGTCGACAATAATGATAATGTCGTGTCCGGTGCGCGAAACAAAAATTGAGGGACGTAACACTTGGAAAAAAAAAAACCAACGTCTCTTATTGTAATATTGTCGAACACGACGTAAGTTACCCTCCCCCCCACACACACTTCCTTCATACCCATTTTTAAACGCGAACGTTTTTTTTTTTTTTTTGGTAACGGTTTCTGACTGCGAACATAGAGTGTGGTTGGTGCGACGAGAAGGACATTTTTTTTATTTTCCTATTAAAACTATTATTGTTGTTTTCTTAATAACGTGGAAATACCGAATATTTATTCAGTTTTTCGTTCCGTGTTAATAAACAATAATAAAAAAAAAAAAACAAAGGTTAAAAGATAAAATTGACGTTAAAAAATAAATTCCCACCGCTCTGCGTAGACAATGTAAATTGGATAAATTATTACTATCGTTCTAAAAGGGAACACGGTATAAATCACTGCATCGCACGCATTACTGTAAAACCGATGAAATATTCATATTAATCGTGACGGATTTTAAATTTTAAAATAATCGAATTTCATCCGTCGTCACGTCGTAGGAATTCCTAGGGTGTAGTTGAATCGTGTCGGTTACGGTGCGAAATAAGAACAACACGCGTAACGCGTTGATTAAATCGCACCAACGATATTTGTACACGGCGGGGCGGTCCTGCAGTGGCGTGCGCAGTCGGGAGGAGTTTAGACTTTTAGAGGTTATAACCCTACCTCCCACCCCACCAGCCGTCCGTCGATCGGCTAAAAAAAAAACGCGAACATAATAATTACGCGCGTTCGGCAATTTTATATTGAAACGTTATTTTATTACGTGGGGCGGTCAAGTTGCACAAGAAAAATGTCGATCCGATGAATAAAAGTCGACACCTTTGGACCCGGTTGTCGGGTCAGAAGACGATTCCGAGATTTTTCTCGGTTTCTCCCCGCTCCACATCAGCGTTTACGTCCCTTCATATCGAAAGTGCACGGGACACGCCGCGACTCGAGCTGGTCGATTCAGTCACGTGCGCATCGCGTATCAGCCATGGCCGAAACACGAAAGGAAAATTAATTTGAAAGCGGGTATCTCATTTTTTTTCTCGCAGCACGGTAATAACACATTATCGCTGTGTTTTGTCGGATTAGTGTATCGCGTGTCACGGGTCGTTTAAACGACCACGGCGCGAGCGACGAGATGCCGAAAATAAAACTTCCGTCGAACACCTAATTGTACGTATATTCATATCATTTACGACGTCACAGCGCGGACACGGTTATTTCGGACCCCGAGGCGATTCGGTCGTCATTTCCGGTTGAACAGATATACGCCTAATGTCGCGATCCCGACGGATATTCAGTATTTACGGCGGCGATAGGTAAAGAGAGCGGAAAAAAAAAAAAGCGGACGTTAGTACGCCGTCGCCCGTACGCCACCCATACCGGAACGAGATACGGCGACAGTTAGCACGGGCCACTTCGGTTGCAGGCGGAAAGTTTGAAAAGTGTGTGTGTGTAGGTATATAAGTGCAGGGTACCTAACTAATTTACTAAAATATTCCGAAAGCCTCGATAAATCGTGGCAATCGAAAAACAATTCTCAGCGGAGTTCGGTTAATTCGCACGGAACGGGATTTAGGATCGTTATCGCCAACGCAAATGTTAGTGTTCAGACGGATTTCACGAAAACACACGCGGAAAGCCAACAGTCATAAACTCGGTGTAAAAATCGGATAAACGCTTTCGTTTAAATTCTGACGGAAACACGGCCTTTGGTAGTATTTTTTTTTTTTTTTTTTCATATTCTACGTAGCCCGCACTTGTAGGTGAAACCCGGAAATCGATAAAAACAAAACCGACGCACCGACCGTCATTGTTTGTAGTCGGTTTATGAGAGTTTTTCGAAAAACCGTCGGGAGCCGAAACAAACTGCCCGACTGTGTAATGTACTCGTACACCGAATTTCGCGTCCGGAGGTCGGTGCATTTTCAGTACCGGAAAAACGCTTTTTTCGGTTAACACGAAAGACGTGTGTATTATTATTATTATTATTATTATTATTGCGTTACATACGCAAATCAGAGAAAACGTAAATATATATATACAGTATTTTTTTTTTTTTCTGTTTGTTTTTCTTCGGCACTCGACCTCGCAATTTTCACCGGTCGCAGCGTAACAAAAATATTGTACGCGAAAACCGGCCGGAGAAAAAACGCGACGCGACCCGGCACGGGCAATGATCGACACTCCGACCACGTGTTTTTCCAAGTATATACACGCGCCGCACGAGCGTCCGCGCACAATCTCGTACGCCTACGCCGCAACGCCCGTACGATAATATTGTGCGCGTGTGTAGCTCGGATGGGTATTTTATGCGTGTACACGGACGACAATGTTTCGGACGTGTCGCGTTCAAGAGACGCGCGCGTGTCGTTGACGTGTCGTCAGGTAACAACGGACGAGTAGGCATCCGGCCGCTCGCAGAGACTGATGGGCGCGGCGGCGCGTACACGGCGTACACCGGTACGCGTTGTTATTGCGGGTTTTTACGTCGGGTTTTTACGAACGGGCGAAAATCGCCGACGCGCACAGAGCGCGGCGAGTGGCCGCGGAGTTACGGTACGTTATGAGGAGGTGCGATTCCGCCGACGGGGCCCGGACTGTTGAACGTACGCGCGCGAGCCCCGGCGGCACTTCGAGTTTTCTCGCCGAGAACGACAACAACCGCGCGCAACGTAACACGCGCAACACGACGGCTCTGATAGGAACGACGTCGCGCACTCGTAAACGCGTTCGTGTACATGTTCATGCGCGCGCTTTTGTGCTTCGCGCTCGAAACGCGGGGTCACGCGTAACGCGTGAAAACGGGAACCGTTTCCCCCCGGACGAATACAGTCCGGCCGTTCGAAACGAACCGTTATAGCGGTTCGGTGAGTGCATTTCCGTATTTTCCAAATTTTTCTCCGATCTTGTAAAGCGCATTCATTTCAACAACCGCCTTAATGACACGGCTTTACCGCCGGTCTGTTGCCCGATACCCGACACGGGGAACGAACGCTGTCATTTTCACGGACAAATATGACGTTTTAGAACGGGAAGCCCGCGGACGGACCGTAGAAATCGCGATTGACGGATTACAATATTAATACTCAATACAAGTGTACATTTTTGAACATTTTACAAAAAATACAACCCGATTTGTTTACGATTTCCAGTAGTTAAATATGTTTGTATTTCCAATAAAGCCTAATATCCACAGTTCCGTCTGGATTTTAGGTCTAAATATCAACAATTCTCCAAAACACGCCGAGCCCCTACGAGAAAAACTATTCTTAAATATAATACCGTTAACTGTGGTGTAATCGGATCTCTACAATGCTGCGACAAAACCATTAGTGTAGTATAAAAAAAAAAAAAATAAATATTTAATAGAACGCCACACCCGCATCTATTGCAGTCTAACAATCGGGCAACTGCATAGCGAAATAAATCACGTTACTTAAAAGTCAGCAAGCTGCGGTGTTTACGTTGAACTATTGAAATTCGAGTTTCAACACTAATAACGAAATACAAAGAGGTGAATATTTCCCAGGGCTACACGTAATTTTTTTCAACAAAATGGCATACGGAAAAATTACAGCTATTTAAAAGAAAAAAAACGAAAATTAACATTGCTAAAATTGTTTTACATAGTATTCTTTTTTTTTTTTTTAAGAAAAAGTTACGAACGTACGCAAACCTCGAGAAAATTACCCTATTCGAATATCGTTATTTTTGTTTAACATCTAATTTCTACCAAAACGCCATAATTCATTCGCTAAAAACAACGTGATTTTGCTGTCAATCGTTAGTTACACCGTGACAGTACGTTCTAACGTGGCGGTCTCTCGATCAAAAACCGTTTATACGTACTCACCAAACAGGCGATGTATTAAATTATATCGTTTGGTTTGAAAACAGTTAAATGAATGGCGATAATTAACAACAATGATAATATCGTGTATAAACTATCGTTATTATTACCGTTGCGTTTGTTATTGTTCCGAATTTTCATTTTAACAGAACCGACGGCTCCGACCGTCGGAGAGCCCGCGACGCGAGATGCCGGACCGGACCCGGCGGTGCGTCGACCACGACACTGGCGCGGGTCGTAAAAACGGGCGGCCGTCCCGTTCCAATCGCACNGCATACGAAAAAATTACAGCTATTTAAAAGAAAAAAAACGAAAATTAACATTGCTAAAATTGTTTTACATTGTATTTTTTTTTTTTTTAAGAAAAAGTTACGAACGTACGCAAACCTCGAGAAAATTATCCTATTCGAATATCGTTACTTTTGTTTAACATCTAATTTCTACCAAAACGCCATAATTTATTCGCTAAAAACAACGTAATTTTGCTGTCAATCGTTAGTTACACCGTGACAGTAGGTTCTAACGTGGCGGTCTCTCGATCAAAAACCGTTTATACGTACTCACCAAATAGGCGATGTATTAAATTATATCGTTTGGTTTAAAGACAGTTAAATGAAATTACGTTCGAATCGTGCTAGATTAGGACTTGTTTGTTTGACACGTTTCCCTGGGGCAGGTAGTGGGGAGAGAGGGGTCGACTCAAATTACAGGCAGACGGTCCGATGATTCCCCCGCTAATTTATATCCGAATCCATCATCGACTGCAGGTTTTCGTAAATAATTATTCTTGTATAATATGTACGGCCGAGGGATGTCGCCCCAGACGACTTGTCGCTTGTTATAATATTATTGTTTTCCGAGCGCGCGCTCCAACGTGAAAATATAGAACACCGGGGTTTCGTTCACGAGTACGGAGGACTAGACAGGTATACTATACATCGAATAGGTTTGTTGCACGAACTTAAATATTTATCAAACCTCTATGTATGTATGCGTCAACACAAGCGTTTCCGTGCGTTACAATGTTTCGTGTCGTCGTCGTTGAATCACAACATATTACAACTGTTGGTTTTTTTTTTTTAAAAAAAAACGAGTGCGTATTAATTATTAGGTGGGTGCTATTATTGTTAAAAACGCTCGCGCGAGTTATTTATAAAGAAAAAAAAAAAAAAGTTTTTATTTTTAAATGTTACCGTTTTGTACATTATAATGTTATAATAGTGTGTGCCGCCTGCGTCATTTTACACTGTACAACAACGGCGCATTATTATATTTTATTATTATACGACCGATTAATATCACTACTGTTACCCCATAATGTACTCACGCACACGCACACACACACACACACACACACACACATATATATATACACGATAGACAGAATGTGTTTCAGTCGTAGATCTCACATAAAAAAAAAACAAAAAAAAAAAAAAAAAAAAAAAAAAAAAAAAAAAAACAGCTAGACTACATTGGGTAAACGGACGAAAGCCGGTAGTTATCGATTAAGCCAAGCGGGGCAAATCGTTTTATCGATTAATAAACGATTGTACACAGACGATTGCAGGTGACCGAATCGACAACCCTAACCGTGCACCAGTAACCATAGGCGTGTTTACAGCGGAGGACGTTAGAAAACTACGCGGCCCGGTGAGACATCGGCCAAAGTATTCAACAGGGCACGGTTGTTTAACGCGGGACGATAATTCGTTAATAATCAATTTTTTCGAATTTATACAGACGCAAAAGCGCTGGTCTCAGTCCGCGGGGATTGCCGAAAGAATATCAGTGACCGCGCCCGCAGCACGGGGATAAACGCGACGTTCTAATTCCGATCAGTTCGCGTCGTACGTACATTATGCATAACGCATACGAGTCGAACGCGAATCGTGTACTCGTACAACACCTACCTACTCGTTATATCAAATTATAATTGTAGGTACGGTATTTATTATTATTATTATTTTTTTTTTTTCTGCTCGATCGAAACGTTCACACCCAATAATACGACAATATGTAAATATGCGCTCGACCGCCGCTGTCGTATTTTATCGTTTTCCCGGCGCAACGCGCCATCGCGCCCGGCACCACGTCCGGGATCGTATGTAGGTTTCGGGCCGTTTTTTTTTTTATTTACGACGGTCGCGAAGAACCTCGGATTTGCATATTGTATCGCGTATACAGCGGGCGTAACGATGACCGGTTAGGTTTCGGCAATAATATAATACGGAAATTCGCGCGAAACGTATGCCGCCGCTACAGCAAGAAGTTTCCGGTTGTTATTATCGCGCATTACCGGAGCCGCGTCGTCAAACGGCCACGCGGGCGTCGCGCAATAAACGATAATGACGACGACGACGACGACGATAACTAACAACAATGATAATATCGTGTATAAATTATCGTTATTATTACCCCGTTGCGTTTGTTGTTGTTCCGAGTTTTCATTTTAACAGAACCGACGGCTCCGACCGTCGGAGAGCCCGCGACGCGAAATGCCGGACCGGACCCGG